AAATATCTTCTGTTTAAATCCAGTGGCAGATTGACACCAAATTTTGACCAGCACATTCAAATTAATCAGTCACTTTAAATTTTGTATTTGAATCTTAACCATTCATTACACCATTGCATGTTTCTTGTCATGTTGTCGTAGCTACCTGGCTATCACTTATAACTACTGAAGAGAAGTACTGATTACACTTACGATTTTTCTTTGCCAAAGTATGTAGTGAGTGACTCATTTATCAAAGACCAAAACTTAGCTGATCTTTATCGATTACGGGAACATTTGTCTGATTGACGGAATGTCCCTCACAAAGAGCATGTTGCGCAATACCGGAGTAGTCGAATTGCACTTAAGAGTACTGAATTTGCTGCTCAAACAGCCGCATCCTGCGCTCCGTTATGATTCGGACAACTCTGTTATAAATAACTAACAATTTTCTAACTAATTAATTGACAAGCAGTTATGGTAAAATACACGTTAGATAGTGTATCCAATGTTCCGGGGTTCATTAGGCGGAGCTTGGATGAGACTCCGTGGATTTGAACCGCGGTCCAATCACTGATGTTTCTTTCAAGATTGATAAATGAGTTTCACTCTGAGGGACGTAAACAGCAGAATATGCATGATGCTTGTTACGTGGCTATAAACTCTTCCATTAAAATAAGTCACTCTTGGTTGATTGCATAGAAGTTGAGATCAACTTAGAACTATAAACTTCATGAAGGTATGAAGCATAACTCTTATCATCAAAATATGATGGAAACCAATATCCCACGGGTTGCAAACATTCATTTGTTTTTTTCTGCTGCAGCGTTGTTTCCCTGTTACACCCTTTCAAACAGTAAGCTTTCAACTATAGTAAACTTTAACTTTAAAGTTTCCAACCGTGGAATCCAAAAGATTTTCTATTATTGGATATGTTTTATTTGTGTCCAATATTGTATGTTGAGCTTTTCAGTGTATAGAATTGTTAATTTGCATTCTCTACAGACCTTGGTTACAATACCTTGTACACTTTTTATTCGACGCGTATTTAGTTATTTTAGTTATGAACAGATTCCTGTTAAATAATTTTTTTTTGTTTTAGGGACATTTGATCGTTTGCTTCCTTGCAGTTCAAGGGCACACCTTGCCCAGGTTCTGCTTTACCTAAATACAGGTGATTCTCCGTGCCACAACAGCGATAAAGGTATTACATCTGTAGTGTTGAACTTTTATTTATTGTCTCATTTGCTTGTATCAGGTGCATCCAAGAATTTCTTATATGAATACATATTGTCCATTACCCAGGGCTCAGAAATCGAATTTGATAGTTATCCTCTGTTTGTAGAATGAATAGTGAATTTCCTGCTTTAGAAGCCGGATATTCCTTTCTTGTCTCGTGTGCAGTTGATTCAGGGTTCCTTTCCAGTGGTCCAGGTTTGCCTGCACCAGTAGTCTGCATTTCAGTGCACATTCTTCCGTATAACTAAGGTATGTGGTCGGGATCTTCCAATAGAACGTCTCTGTCGTGCCTTTTCCAAGAAAATTCACTTTTGAACTGTCTCCCGTGGCATTCTCATGAAAATTGTTGTTGCAGTTGTCAGGTTGATTTCATACCGAGATATTTCAAATGTATTTCTGTCATTGAAATGAGTTGCGCAGCGAATGGCTCTCGCTCGAAACTTACCAGACAAACATGGACTGACAAACCCGCTATCCAGCAATCAAGACTACGAGAGGTTAGTTCCCTGTACCATGTTATTACGTTCCATGCAACGTTTGTTCTTTGGCGAAAGCATGTTAGATGATATCGGTACAAACTCGATATACATTACGGTAGCGGAAGCTCGCCTCCATGAGAAGGGG